GCATTTTAAAGAATGTCACTAATTTTCTATTATTTTTGTTCAAAAAGTAAAAAACCTTACCTTTTTTGTTTCTCATGTTATAGTTATTTTAATCAAATATTTTTTTCCCTCATGTTATAGTTTTTTTCTTTTATTTCAAATAAAATTAGTAAAAATGTAAAATTCGATCCTATATTTAAGAATGCGGCCTTTTATTTTGCCATTTATGCCATTTCCTCTCAATATTTTTCTAGATTGTTAATTCTTAGCCAGCATTAGTATAATAATTAAGTGATAATTAATATCTACTATTTTTTATTGTATAAAAAGATTTAAATTATCTATTTTAATTTTTAAACACGGCATAAAAAAATCCATCAATTTATTTTAACTATCAAGGAACGCACGTGAAATGTTAAAGTTTTAATTCCAAACGTATTAGTAATTATTTATGCTTTATGTTTTTTGAAAAGTTGTAGAAGCCGTATATTAAAACATTAAAATAAAAGATTATCGAGATAGAGATAAATATTCTTAGAAACTTATTCTTTTTAGAGATGAGATGAGTTTCACCATTGCCCACCTCTTGCAATCGACTGGGTTAGCAAATTTGCTATCTCTATTAATTATTTGAATGCCTTTCTTATTAATGAAAACTTATAATGTTACGTTGTTTCTTTAAAAAATAAACTAAATAACAACATTTTAAAATAAGTGGTTAATGACATTTATTATTTTTCACAAAACCCTAGCTCTTTAACATCCTTAATTTGTCTTTGAGCCTTCATGGATGGCTTCACCCACTAATTTCCCTTCATGCACATGTTTTGGCAGCAATAAGTTAGATAGATTATAAATAAAGAAAAATTATGCGAATGAGACAGTGGGACATAATTGAATTTCACTCATTTTCTTCTGCAAAATTTAGAGTCTTTGTTGATTAGTGTAATCGTTGTTTAAAATTTTAAAGATTTATTTCTCTGTGTTAAAGAGAAAAAAATGGGATAAAAAATAATGAATATGTCTTGAAGTTTGTTATAGAGAAAAAAAAAAGGACCCAAAATGAGACCCAAGATCATCGACTAGAGAAGACCGACCCGCGACGAAACGGGCCGTCCCATACCAAAAGATGACCTAGCACCGAGCATCACGGCACCAAGACCTCCTCGACACTGAGGCGCCAGCTTCTTACCTTGGCCTTTGGGCCAAGGTACCATTTAGGCTTCCTCCACTCTAATTTACATCAAGAGGTTCAACAGTACACCTATTCGGGGCCGAGCCCAGCATCCACCCTCTTCTGTTGATAAACGATCATTGGGCCTTGCAACTCCGAATTAGTGCTCGACTACATAAGGTTCTGAAATCATCCTTACGGCTATAAATAGCAGTGCAGCCTAACCCTGTGGAGGCAAGTAACATGCTTGAAAGCTACTATTTCCTAGCTCTCCTTTGCTAACTTAGGCATCAGAGTCTGTGTGACTAAGGTCACACCAATTAAGATCGATTTAATTTTGTAGGTATCAGTTCCCGTTAGGTGTGTGTGAAGAAGAAAATTGAAAGGTAGAGATCCACGCATCAACAAAATTGAAAAGTTTTGAAGCGAAAAACTTGAATAATTTATAATTGATATTTTAAAAAAGATTAAATAATGAGAATTTGAAGAAGTCTTGAGTAGATAGATGTACATGAAGGACAAAATGAGGAGAAAAAATTTATCTCCGATGAATATAAATATAAATATATTTTATGTATTGTATAGATATGTATATAAATTATTTATTGGACACGTAACAACTTTTGAACAATTCTCCTTGTATTCCCATGATTTTAGGCCCCGTTTCTAATGAAATGCATGTGCTTCTTTTTCCGTATTCTTTTTACTTTTCTCCTTCACTTTTTTTTGAGTAAGTACAACTCGTTCACTCCCTTTCATTTTTAGTTATTCACATATTAAATGAACCCTTTTTCTATAAATAAATAAATCCCTTTTAACGTGTCGACATATATATATTATATTAAAATCAATGTTAAATTATAATATTGCAAATGTTTTATTTGAGATACTTTACTTATCTCTAACTAAGAGAGTTCATGAGTTAGAATTCCCCAGCCCATTTATACTAAAAATACAAATGTTTTATATTGTATTGATTCCATCAATTATAAATATTTTAATATTAAAAATACGTTTGAATTACAATTTTAGTTTCTAAAATTACATCAAACTGACTCTAAATTTTTTATTTTACATAGTACATGCATGTGTGATTAAATTTGTAATTTTTTAATCTCGTGAAACACTATATTATTTAAGAACTAAATGACAGGTTGAATTTGAGACAATCTCAAATATTTGGTAGCGCAACACTAAACTAACATAATGAAAAACATAGATCCTTGTCACACAAAATTAAAAATTCATAGGTTTATTTAAATTTTGTAATTAAATAGAAAATATATAAAAATTTTAAAAGTTCATCGACTTATTAAAAGTTTTTCTTAAAGTGCCAGTCTTAGCATAGCCCTTTTATAAATTTTTAGATCGAATTCATACAAACTAGTAACCTATTTATATTAATATAATTCAAATATTAAATCTAATTAAAATAGAATATATGATTCAAATAATATAATCTAAAATATATCTATAATTCAAACAATATCTAATTCAAATAATATAATCTAAAATATATCTATAATTCAAACAATATCTAATTCAAATAATATAATCTAAACTTTATCTAATTCAAATAACATAATTTAATAATACAATCTAATAGCTCAACGGTAAAAGATGTATGTCTGTTTGAAAGTTGTGCGTTCGAACTTCGACGATACGCGTTAAAAAGAAAAAAATTAATAAATTTAAAGAAAAAGGGAAACAGACCATAGACAACAGGAGGATTTATTCTAGAAAATTTTCAACATGTGACAATTCAATGATATATATATATATATATATATATATATATATATATATATAAGATTTCAAATTTATTTTAAACTTTTTAATTGGCATAATTTGAGCGAAAGTATTACTATATTTACAAGTCGAACAAATTGTTTCTATATTTAGTTTAGAATTAATTAGACTTGTTTTAAGATACATGTGAGCACTATTTAATTTAGTATTGTAATGTAAACAGTAGTGTGTGTGGGTTTTATTGACTTGGGGAAAGGTTTTCCGCACTTGGAAGTTGGAAATAGTTGTTATTATTATTTTTAATTATTTTTTTAAGTACGGAAGTGGGAGATAATTGCTAAAATAAAGGGAAAATATAGCAAACGTGGATAATGAATGACGATCCTCCTTAACGCCATTTGCCAAAAAAAAATAAAAATTAGTCAATAAAAGCACCGTCTTTTTTGGGCACTGCATCAAATCAATGACACAAATAGCCCAATATTAATAATCATATGATCTTTCTAGATCTCATTTTATTATAACTTTGCTTTAATTTTTTCTTTTTTTTTTCCTGTCTAAATTGGAAGATCTTTACAACTGCATTGGTGTTGATTTATCTAAATTTTAGGTGGGTTGCATAGTACTTAATATTTTTATAATATTATCTTTAAAAGATTGGTAAAACCACTGTTTAATTACTTGGATTGAATTCTCAATTTGATTAATTATCTCCTTATGATTATAAAATTACTGCAATTAAATATTATATTGCAAAAATATTTAGACCAACGATGAATTACAAATATTATTATACAACTTTTAGAACTATGAGATTGTTAACGCAAATGCCTCTGACCAAGAGGTAATGAGTTCAGATTCTCTCATCCACACTTGTTGTACTGAAAATTGTAGAAGTTATTGCAAAAATCTGTGGATTACCAATGAATTACAAATATTATTACAATCAAATTTAAACAGTTTACAACTTTTTTTTCCATTAAATCAAGATGTGGTTCAACAGCAATTTGAAAACCAAAATTTACGACGACTAATATCATAGTTTTCAAAATTTATATAATTAAAAAATTTTAATTGTAATAATCAATTTTTTTCCCGATAAAATTGTAATAATCTAACAACAATTTTTATAGTTTAGGAATGATTTATGAATTTGAAAATATTTTAAAGTTTTGAATATAATGATTTAGTAAATCTGGGAAAGTAATTCACCAAATGGGGAGTTCAAAGGTTACTAACAACTCTCATATAGTTTGGGGTAATTTTCAAATAATTTTGTTATCATAATTAATACTTTTTAAAAAATCATACATTCTTGTACCGTTTGAATAATGGTGTTTTTGCCTTTAGAATTAACCTTTTTTTCTCTCCTTTTTTGGGGTCTCCTTTCATAGTAAAGTAGACGCCACCTTTTCTTACCTGAACTAAAAAAGAGATGTAAATAATAAATGTACTTTTTCCAAACTAACTGGCAAACTTTACTTACCATGACAATATTTAAAACACGGAAATAATTAATTGCAACAAAAAATAGTACAAAAGCAATATTTGTAATGCGACTAAAATGCAAAGTTACTTTTTGACTCCACTTTATCGTTAAAACATATAGTTATTTAAATATCATAATTTTAATTTAAGCAAAGTTAAGTCATATTTCGAAATATAACTTGTCTAAATAACAAAATATCGTCAAAAATGATTATGTTAACCAGCTAAATTCAAGTTTCCTAAAATAAACGCAACTAAATTCAAGTATAATTTAAATTAAATATAATTGTACTTGAATTCGAGAGAGTGGGGTGAGTGGTAATTATGAATTTATAGACGATGATGGAAAAAATAGGTTTTTTATATTTATTTCTTTTCAGATTTACAATAAGGTGGCCACTTCTCTCAAAATTAATTAAATTTGAAATAAAATTCCATGAATATTAATATGGTATCGTTCAAATGAACATTCAATAAAAAGAAGGAATATGACCAACACGGATGAGCCAAAGGAGAGCCACAATTTTGCTCCTCTTTAGAATTGGATTTCGTCAAAAAAGAAAAGAGCAAGAAAAGGGAATTAGCGTAAGCTGCGAGAGTAAGGGGATACGTCAGCGAGAGGAGGGAGTAAGAAGAAATGTACTGGACTGGACTCGGTATCCGACAAGGCATTAGGAGAGAGAGAAAGAGGTCCCTCCAATTTGCCAGCCAATCGCCGTCGGCTCATTCGGCTACTTCTACTTCCACGTAGCACCGCGTTTTCCTCTCTCCGGCGTTTACCAGTCTTTCAAACTTTCTCTCTGCTCTTTTTCCCTGCTTTCAATTCCTCAAACTTGGAGGCTATTCTAATTTCCAGCGATTTTTCATTCTGGGAGTTGGAATTTCGCGGCGGATTTTGTTGTTGGGGGTGATTGGATCGGGGGATTC